GGGCCTCATGGATGCTCGCCAACATTCCCTCAGGGACAACAAGTGTTAGAGGTGACCAGGCCTTAGGTCCAATGACCCTACCTCTGCTGGGAAGAAGGCCACGTCCTTGGAACAGGCTGTGAGACAGGTGCCCAGGAGGGTGCGGCCACTGAGCTCAGGTCTATAAATAAGGGACCCAGGAGGAGAAACTTTAATTTGCACATTACCTATTGGTGTTTACTTTGCTATTTCCAATATGGTCATTTAATTTTGCAGGAGACCTGACGGGGGGGGGGGGGGTGTCACCTGGGCCTGTGGTTACTTGACCACACCAGGGATGACTCCTGTGTCCTCTCTCTCCGTTAGGCAGGTCTCTCCACTGTGGTGAGCAGCTCCATCCTTCTCCCTGCTTCCTAGGGGCCCCACCTCTGCCAAGCTGAGCACCTCGTGGGCTCCTGTGATGCCCACTGCACATCAAGCTATCTGACTGCTTAGGCGACAGGAGCTGTGCTCCCTTTAAGTTTTACACCTCATCTATGATGTGGGGGCTCCACGAGGCTGGGCCTCAGACTGTGCCTCCCTCAGACTGGAGCTTCCTGGGGATAGGCACGTCTCTCTTAGACCGAGACCTGCTGTGGTGAGTGCACGTGCCTTTCCCTCGGCCTAGAGGCCTTTAGGGCCGCAGGAACCATAGCTCTCCTTACATCTTCTCCTGCCTGCGCCTTCTCATAAGGGCTTTGGGCCACCTGTCCCGGGCTATACCTGTTATGACCGCCACAAGCGCATTTGCTCTGCTCCTCCCCAACCAGCAAGAGTGACTGACGGGATTTTTTTTTTTTTTGGTTTTTACGAGACAGGGTTTCTCTGTATTGTTTTGGAGGCTGTCAGTCCAGCCTAGCCTCGAACTCACAGAGATCCGCCTGCCTCTGCCTCCCGAGTGCTGGGATTAAAGGCGTGCGCCACCACCGCCCTGCGACTGGTGGGATTTTTGATAGGAAAAAAAATGATAGACATGTTTTCTTTTCTGTGACTCTACCTATTTTAAAATTAATAAAAATTCTAAAAATTGCTGGGCAATGGTGGCGCATGCCTTTAATCCCAGCACTCAGGAGGCAGAGGCAGGCGAATCTCTGTGAGCTCGAGACCAGCCTGGTCTACAAGAGCTAGTTAAAGGACAGCCTCCAAAGCCACAGAGAAACCCTGTCTCAAAAAACAAAAAAAAAATTTAATTATGCATATCTCAAAATAACATTCTACAGCTGTGTTGAAATAAAGACAACTGTATTTATAATATGTAGAAAAAACATTCTTTGACCCAACAAATGAGTTTTTCCTTGACTCCAAAATAAGTTAAAGTGTTTCTCAGGCCTCTGAAAGTGTCATGAACCAGACTTACGTCGTTCGTCCACACGGTGACGGAGTGACGGGTGAGAATACGGCATAATTCCTTCTGCTCCCGGGATGCTAAAAGATCTGGCAGAAGGGGAGCTCAGGGGCCAGCGGGGTGGTGTGGGGGGACGGGGGCGTGACACTACAGCAGTCATTAGTCGTGCAGTGAGGAGAGGTGGCACGGCATGGAAAACTGGAACCACCCCACTGCCTGCCAGCCTTCCCCGGCCCTCCGTGCCAGGCTGGGTCACAGACCTGACAGTGAGCGGGAGTTGAGGTACGCTCCAAGACTTCTCTACTTCAGGTCCTTGTCCCAGATGAGGCTGCCTACCCCTTCCAGCCTGAGGCTTATGAGGCCCTGAAGGGTAAGAGAACCTAGGATGTGGCAGCCAGCTGAGGGTGTGTGCCGAGGAGAACCGCAGACATGCTAGAGGGCCCCTTCCTGCAGCCTCAGGCAGGCCCCGTGTTCAGAAAGCCCTCTGCTGTTGTGTGGCCCACCCCACAGCCCCCAAATGTCCCTCTTCTTTTCACTCACTCTTCCCTCTTCGCTTGTCGAGGCGTTTAAAACACACATCTGTTTCCGTCCCTCGTCGACCCCTCTGTCTCTTGTCCCCAGCCTCCGCTTCTCTCTGTCCCCGGGGTTTCTTTCTCGTCACCCGGAGCTCCCTGTCTGCCCTTTCCCTGTCCTCCTGCCCCTCTCCTGGCCTCTGAGCGTTCCTCTGCCTCACATACTCTCTGTTTCCCTGTCGCTCTCTCTGTCTCGCTTTGTCTTTCTCCTCTCTCGTTATTCTGAGACATGGCAGTGTCTAACTCAGTGGGGATGACACGTTCCACAGACAAATTACCTAACAAAAGCAAGGAGGAGCGTGCTTCAAGCATGCTTCAGGCCTCTGCCCTGCTGTGTGATATGCGCTCATGTGGCAGCGGTGGGGGGGGGGCCTGGGGGCAGGAGGGGGGGGTCAGTCAGGCATAGGGGCCACCTCCTGGCAGGAGGGGCTCCAGGCTGGCTGTGGAGGGCAGCATGGAAGTGCTCTGAGCCAATCTGTTCAGGTGGCTTTCAGGTGGATGTCTTTCTTCCCGAGCCAAAGCTAACCCTTTGGTCCCCTGGACATAAAAGCAGCTGTCTGCATTGGCCTATGGTACAGGGAGGGAAGCCGAGGGCAGCAGATATCTGCAGCTTGTAGAACAGTGTGGCCTCCTAAGCTTGTGTCCATCATTCATCTGGAGGGAAAGCCCCTGGAAGTGAGTCCCTCCTCCAAGCACCAGTACCGCCCTGTGTGGCACTGACAGCTACTAACTGACTGACTGACTATTCTCAAGATCAAACAGGGAGGGTGTGCTGTCATAGAGGAGTCCCGAAATGGGCTTGCTAGGGCAGAAAGTTGGTGTGGGCTTCCAGGTGACTCTGCAAGTCTTTCCTTCCTCAGTGGAGTACAGCGGGTGCCCATGGTCATAGGAGGTCTTCCTATGTCTTCCCAGGTCTTCCTATGCCTTCACATGCCTCTCCATGTCTCCCCATGCCTCTCCATGTCTCCCCATGTCTTCCCATGAATTCCCATGCCTTCCCATGAATTCCCATGCCTTCTCATGTCGTCCCATGCCTTTGCATGCCTTCCCATGTCTCCCCATGTCTTCCCATGCCTTCCTGTGCCTTCCCATGACTTCCCATGTCTTTCCATGTCTTCCTATGCCTTCCCATGTCTCCCCATGTCTTCCTATGTCTCCCCATGCCTTCCCACGCCTTCCCACGCCTTTCCATGCCTTCCTATGCTTTCCCATGTCTTCCCATGTCTCCTCATGTCTCCCCATGCCTCCCCATGTCTTCCCATGTCTTTCCGTGTCATCCCATGTCTCCCTATGTCTCCCCATGTCTTCCCATGCCTTCCTGTGCCTTCCCATGGTCTAATTTTCAACACACTTTGCAGACTTCAGAATGTGGTTCTTCCCTGAGCCCATCCATACAGGTAGGACATGGATTAACATGACGTGACCACCTCAGGCAGGACAGGGATTGCCACAACCCTCTCACAAGCAAAGAAACTGAGTTTCAGAAAAGTCAAGGCCAGTCAGTAGGTGGGACTAGAAAGGGCAATGCCTTGCTTTACAGATGGGGAAGTTGAGGCAGGTAGCAATGGAAACGGAGCTTCTTAGAGAGTGAGTCCAGAGATTCTGGATGTTTCTTCCATCCACAGCCAAAGGACACCTCTCTACCTGCGTACTGTAGACACATGCTTAGGGTCACATGGCTCTTGGAGAGTTCTTAGAGAGACCTATGGGCAACTTTGGGGATTTAAGCCTTTATTCCTTTTCTCACCACTGTGACAAAACATCTGACAAGCATGGCTTAGGGAAGCTAACTTTGGCCCACAGTTCCATAGCACAGTCTGTCATGGCAGGGATAGCATGGCAGCAGGAGCTTGAGAAGGCTGGTCCCCTTGCACACACAGCCAGCAAGCAGAGGCAATTGCTGGTGCTCAGCTCTCTGTTTCATTTTTCATTTAGATCAGGACCCCAACTCCTAGGACAGTGCTACCCAGGGTCACGGTGGGTCTTCCCACTTCAGTGAACCCCTCAATGATACACTGAGAGGCTGGTCTCCTGGGTGACTCCAGATCCCGTCAAGTTGATAATCAATGTCAACACATCACAGTCAGGCGATAGGGGAGCCCAGATGTACAGCGTGGCTCTGCCCACGTGAGGCAGAGGAGGGTCACACAATGCCAGCCCTGTCTCTCCCTCATTTTCTTCCTTTCTTTCTTTCTTTCTTTTTTTTTTTTTGTTTGTTTTTTGACACAGGGTTTCTCTGTAGTTTTTGGAGACTATTCTGGAACTACCTTTGAAGACCAGGCTGGCCTTGAACTCACAGAGATCCTCCTGCCTCTGCCTCCCGAGTGCTGGGATTAAAGGCGAGTGCCGCCACTGCCTGGCTCCCTCATACATTTTTTAAAGAGTTTTTTTTTATAATTGTGTGTGTGTGAGTGTGTGTCTTCATGTGGGTCTGCGCTTGTGAGTGCAGGTGTATGAGAAAGTCAGAGACATGGAATTCCTTGGAGTTGGAGTTACAGACAATTGTGAGCCTCCATGTGGGTGCTCCTTAACCTCGGAGCCACCTCTACAGCCCTCAAGCATCTTTGTGCCAAGTCAAGAGGATGGCTTTGCACCTGGCTTCCAGAAAGCGGGAACGACAAGAGAAAAAGACACTCGTGGGAGTCCCTGTACCCACCCTCCTTCCCCTGGGGAATGTCTCATTCTTAGCACAGAGGAGGAAGAACATTGCATCGCCTCTCTCCACGTGCTCCCCCTCTGTGTGCTCCCCCTCTATGTGCTCCCCCTCTGTGTGCTCCCCTCTCCCTGTGCTCCCCCTCCGTGTGCTCCCCTCTCCCTGTGCTCCCCTCTCCCTGTGCTCCCCTCTCCCTGTGCTCCCCCTCCCTGTGCTCCCCTCTCCCTGTGCTTCCCCCTCCGTGTGCTCCCCCTCCCTGTGCTCCCCCTCCCTGTGCTCCCCTCTCCCTGTGCTCCCCTCTCCCTGTGCTCCCCCTCTGTGTGCTCCCCCTCCATGTGCTCCCCTCAGCTCCCAAGACCGCCTAGCTCTGACTCACACCTCTCCAAGTCCTTGATCTGGGCCCGCCCTTCCCATGGCCGCAGAACTTGCAGGATTAGTGTTCCTGCCTGCACCCTGTGTTTTGTCTATTGAATATGCTGCCTTTATTTATCTCTAATCCATCTGCCCATTTTATTAATGAGGAATTCTCTGTTGTGAAGATAATCGGTGTTTCCGGCATGACGGCTTTGGGAAAGTGCCAGCTAAGGGCAGAGATGTGACATTTGAATTGGAGCAGGTGAGATTTGCAGGAGCGTGTTTGCAGTATTGGAAAGAGCTGGGTGGGATGCCTGTAATATCACAGATTTGTCAGGGTCTGGGCTCCACGCGGGGGTACCCAGAGTAACCACATGATACAAGTATTCCAGACACATGTGTTCTCACGCACTTTATACTCCCGGTCCAGAGGATCCGACAGGCTAGACCCGGGGAAGTGAGAACGGCTGGTTCAGCCAGGCCCTGCTCAGCTTCTTAACTGGCTCCAGGGTTGTGACTTCCCTCCCAGGCCTTTGCTTTGGAGCTGGGAGCTCATACCACACAGGAGACTCTGATTGTGTTAAGGGCTATACCTGTTAACTGAAACCCCTGGCCAAGGCCATGCACGGTACTTGTTATGGGCAGGTGCTGTGCTGTGACCCAAGTAATGGGGAGCTGATGCGGATTGAGCATCCTCACAGGGAGGTATTTAGAGGTGGGACTGGGGGCGCTGGGAAGGTGGTGGACCTGAGTTCAGGGCCTCAGCTTAGAAAGCTGGGGGTGGCTGTACATTCCTGTAAACCTAGTACTGGGAAGGCAGCTAAGTCAGGGACCCCCAAGTTCAATGAGGACCCTGCCTCAAAAGAATAAATGAAAAGAGGTTGAAGAAGACATTCGATATGAACTTCCGGCCTCCGCACGCTGTGTGTGCACACACACACACACACACACACACACACACACACAGAGGAGATCAGGCAGACTGGACCTCAAGAAGTGGCTGGCTACAGGTGCATTCAGGGACTTCCTTGCAGGGTAATATCACACTGTAGGAGTAGCTCCAGGCTTCAGGCAGCCTTGAGTCTCGTACATTTCGCCTTCAACTCACTTGTAGGATTTATTTTTGCTAGCATAGTTACTTAAATCTGGCTTCAAGCTAGTGTTAAAATTAGCAGGCATTCCCAAAGAGGGTGCCCAGCAGATGGAAGAGGCTCGGAAGCAGGCCGGGAACGGGAGGGAGTCTGCCCAGGAGGCGACATCAGACACAGACCATCCCTGAGGTGGGTGTCCCATGGGTGCTGAGAAGCCACAGCTTCTGGCAGCTTCCAAGGAAGGCCGCAGGACTGGAGCAGCAGATAAAGACGGGGAAGGCCGACGGATTTGGTTCATTGATTCGGAAAGGCACTGGGGACCCGGGTGGCAGAGCTCTCACCTGGCATGCAACAAGGCCTGGCTTGAATCCCCAGCACGGGCCAAACTGGGTGTGGTGACACAAGTCTCTAATGCCAACACAGGGAGATGTAAGAGAATCAGAAGTTCAAGGTCATATTCAGCTACATAACAGCCCAAGTTACGTGAAACACTGGGGGTGGCGGGGGGGGGGGGGTCAGGCAAAAAAGTCATACGAGCTGGTCTTGGCCAGCTCTTTCGTTTTATAGACAAATTGCAGTTCGGAGCAGAAGGTGACTTGTCCCAATCCCACAGCTAACAAACCACAGACCAAGAGCTGAGTGCATGTCTCATGATTTCCAGTTCTTGGTCCCCTCCTGCCTCTGTGCTTACACTGGGGCTGTACCTTGGGCTTCTGTTCCCTGGGTGAGAGGCATGAACGGAGATGGCAGGGATGGACAGGGCTGGAAAAGTGAGGGGTGGGTGAACACCGGCCTCTTTGGCCATCTGCTTCCTATCCTGTTTCTTCTATCTGGTCTCAGTATATTTATCTGTAAAATGGAGCGCTTGGCTCACATAGGCTGGCCAAGGCAGCATGTACCAGACCAGAACATTCTTTCTTGGCCACTGAGACCTCAGAGATGGGACAGAGCCAAAGCCAGGCCCTGGAAAGCCATGGCTCCAAGACCGGGAGGCGCCTGGTCCGGGGTGGAGGTGGGGGCAGAGAGCGGCAGAGTTAGCGCAGTGCCCTCCACCCCAGCTATTTTTACTCCAGAACACTGAACTGCAAGAGGCTAAAAATACCAGCAGCCGGTCCTGAACATCCTTTCCCCCGGGAGGCGGGTGGAGGCTGGCAAGGAGAGGCTGCAGGCGTCCAGCTTTCTCCGTTCTGAGATTGGGCTCCAGGGCATTCAGGAAATGGGCCCTTCCCTCCGAAGAGCACAGAGACAGCCCAAGAGGAAGCCTGCTTTTGTCATTCCCAGAAATCTCAGTCAGACTTGTTTGCACACATCCACATTTAAGCCCAGCATCATGAGTTCACTGCGACTTTGTTTTCTGCTTCTTCCACTGGTTATTTCACAGATACTTTGTGTTTGTCATGTTAATGGCTGCATAGTATTCCATCTCAAGACACTCTCTGTTTCCTACTTGCTGGACATTTGAGGACTCCCAGCTCACCCTTCTTACAAAGAAGACTGCCGTGGACATCTTTGGGCATGTGGTATTTTCCTTCTTATTAATTACTTCTGTAAGATAAGTGCTCGGGCTGGCGGGAAGGCTGTTTCGGTGCTATTTGATGTGGCTTGCCAAATTGCTTCAGAAGTTAGCCAGGGAAGATGTAATATGAAGACACAGCTCATGCCGTGAGCCAGTCAGGGTTCAGGGAAATCGGAGCAGGGAGCCAAGGGCGCTGCCTTTGCTCTCAGGGCCTTCCTTCCCTCCTCCTGTCTCCCTGCCCATTCACCTCGCCCCCTCTCCTTTCGTTATGTCTCCTTTGAAGACCAGGTCTCATGCGTCCCAGATTGGCCTGTAACTCACTGTCTACCTAACGGCGACCTTGAACTCCTGACCCTCTGCCTCCACCGCCTCATGCTGGGACTGCAGGTGTGCTCCGCCGTGCCTGGTTTTACACAGCGTTGGGGACTGAGGGATTCACGTCTGGTAAGCCAACATCCTACCAACTGAGTTACATCCAAGAGCTCTCCCAACTCTCGATTTTCTCCACACGCCTCTCCGGGTCTGCTCACAGTCTCTGAGGGCTTACTTTGTCCCGGTCACTCTGCCAGGCAATTTCCCCACCCATGCCCTGGACTCAAACAAGTCATAATTATCCCTGTTTTGCAGATGAAGAAACTGAGGTGCAAAAAGACTAAAGGTGCAGACAGTAACGTGGGAACCCATCTTGCTTGGCCAGTCCACCTCACTCTACACAGGCTCTCCTGAGGGAAACCAATGCTTCTGAGGAGGGAGACCGCAGAGTCAGAACAGCTGGTCTAACACTTCCTTTCTGTATCTTTGGACTCAAATCGTGAAGAGGGAAAGCCTGACTGGCTCGTCTGAATCAGGGGATAGGGACTCCAGAAGTAAGGGCCCAACGAACCATGATGGGGCAGGAGCAGGTAGGGGAATCCAAGAGGTACAGGACCATGAGGGTTGGTGAGCGACTATAATGGTGTCCCAGCTTGCACTTTGCTAGAAAAATTATGTGAAGGGCAGCTGGAAGGCTCAGGAGCTAAGGGTGGTTGCCACAAAGACTGGCAACCTGAGTTCAGTCCCAGTGGCAAAAAGAGAGAACTCATTCCTGCTATTTGTCCTCTGGTTTCCATACACAAACACGCACACACTCACGCACCCACATGCACACATATACACACACTCATGCACACGCACCCACATGTACACCACACATACACATGCTATACACACAATACCACCCACACATACAAATAAATATATTTTTATATAAAAGCATTTTATTTCTTCACTTAAAAACTTTTGCTTTCTCTACATTTATTTATTTATTGTGTGTGTGTGTGTGTGTGTGTGTGTGTGTGTGTGTGTGTGTGGCTCTCAGGAGGTGGTATTCCCACCTCATTCAGGCAAGGTCAGGTTGCACGTGGCATACTTCAGGCTAGCTGAAGGACAGCATCTGACCCATCGCGTGGCTCCCGGGAACTGAATGCGGGTCTTCAGGCTTGCTTGGCTACCTCGGGGCCATCTTCTGGGTCCTGTTCATTATTTTCCAAGCGCTTCTTCCTGAGACAAGCATAATCATTGATCTTTAAATCTCACGGGTACCAGTGCTGCGTGGGGTGACAGGATTCTGAGGGGGCCGCTGGTGGAGGGAGGATGGAGGCTTACTGATCTTTCTCCTTTGTCCTTTCAGCCTGCGAGGGGGGCTAACTGGCTTCCTATCAATGTTTCTGACATACTACTTGGACTATTGAACTAGACACTGTCCAGCAGGGACCTCTCTACACAGGAGAATCTGAGCTCGCCACCTCCTATGAGGCTCCCCGTTAGAAAGGAACCAACCAATCATTTTCAGGGTGTACTGCCCATCCAATGGACCTCAGCCTGATGCTCTACCCCCCCCCCCCCCCGCTCTTTGTTGCCTGGTGGCTTTACTTTATCCCAGTCCTGGAATGACTGTGCATGCCTTTACTTCAAAGCCCCTGGGACAGAGCTTTTGTGTGCACCTCTCTTTGTAAAAACCTTGCCATCTTTCTTTTAAGGCCTTCTGTCCCCAGACCCTGTGATAACAAAGTACCCCCAACTTTAGCACTAAACAAGGTCCCTTCCATAAAAGGTAGTAAAACTAGGGGGTAGCATGCAACAGGGTGATTGTGTATCTGGTGGAGACACTGAGGGCTCCGGGCGGGGGCAGACGTGTCCTAGGTGTCAGCATTGATGCAGAGACCACAGGCAGCTAGCTGATTCAGCTTTGTTTGACAGCCAGATGGCTTTGCACTGAGCCTACTCTTCCAGCCAGCTGTTGCCAGCTGTAGAGGTGGGTGGAAAAGGTGCTTTCTGAAACCAGGGTCCGGGCTTCTGCCACCCCCCCGTTTTGGCTTCTGCGGTTCAGAGCTGCGTCCCAGCCCCTGGGAGACAGTTTAGATTCAAGGCTTTGGGTAAGAACTGGACTCTTAGATTCTTCTTTGGTACTGTGGTAGCCTCTCATGGGACCCTCTTCCACCAGACCCTGGAGACATTCAGGGCTACCCACGGCCAAGGGAGCCAGTAAAGCCAGGAGCAGTAAGTGGTACTTTCTCTCCGCAAGCCATCTAGCTCCTGGCTGGGCAGCACCCACTAGAGCCCCAGGATCACGAGTCACAGATTAGGGCTGTTTTAATTTTAAAGTCTCTGCTCTTGGTGTAAGGGACATGATCCCTCTTGACTCTCAAGATTGGCAGACATGACGTTCTGGGGCTAGCCCCTTGTTTCCCCAGGTCAGTTCTTCCTTTGTGTTTGTGTTCGTTCTTTATGATAAAGACATTTTTGGTTGGGTGCAAAGCTGCCCACCAAGACCTACATCTTCTTGCTGCTCATGCAGTTAGATGTAGCTGTGACTAGGTCGGGTCAACGGCACAGCTTTTTCTTCCGGCAAGAATGCAAAGGCAAGGTAGGTGCACACAAAATACTGAGACAGGCAGAGCCACAAGACAGAAGGAACCTGGGTTCCTGAGACCTCTAAACTGCCATGTCATTTAATGAAGCCACCTGCTGGCATATTTGTGTGGTCTGTGCAGCCTTCTGTATTTTAGAGTCTCTTTGCAAGGCTCTCAATGAAACGGTCATCCTGGGACCTCCATGGATATTTCTCATTACAGGGGGGACCAGAGACCCTATGTTTTGTTGAATTTTGGTCTTCCCCGTCATAGCCTTCATACCCTTATATGATCACCCTTCACCATGACTCCAGACTTGCCTGTGACTTGCCTAAGCTACATAGTAAGTATGATGGAGGCCGGGCCTTGGGAAGCGCTCTAGCAGTGGTCTTGTCCTCTTGAAGGTCACTTTGCTTTGCTGAGACAGGATCTCAGGTTGTCCAGGCTGGCTGTGGACTTCCTCCTGGCTCCACCTCCCAAGTGCCAGCATCGCAGGCCTGTGCCACCACCCTGCATGGTACGTGGTGCAGAGGAGCAACCTTCCAGCTCTGTCAGTGGGAAGCAATACCCTCCTAACTGGGCTGCTCCCCAGCTCATCCCTTAGAATTCCACTCTGGGATATTTCTTCTCCACACCAAGGGTCGGTCTTGAGCAGCCCAGGCACAAGAGGCCATGTCAGAGAGAATGGAGACTCGGCCCCTGCCTGTACCTAACCATGCCAGCCCGAGAGTGAAGCAATTTACAAATGTACCTTCCAGTGTGAGGCCTTATGGAGCAAAGCCAGGCTGTTGTCCTTGCCACATCCTGTCCAAATTACAGACGTACAATCAATTAAATAATTACTGCTTGAAGCTACTAGCTTTGGGGGTGGCTTAGCACCGCCTGGAAGACACCACGGTGCTTTTCCTACATCAAGCAGCCTTCCTCACCACACCTAAAACACCACAAAGGGGCCCAGGGATGCTCTGGGAGGTCTTGGGAAGTCATAGCCTCTCTTCAGAAACTCAGTGACCGCCTCAGTGCCTGCCAGGTGGTCCTGTCTGGATTTAGTGCTTAGAGCTGTAGCTACAAGTGCAGTTATGGGTTCCAGGGACCGTGCCTGCTAATGTAGCCGAGATGTTGTGCCCTTTAAATGGGGTTTGAGGACTGCGATGAATCCCACGACTCACATGAACATGACTGCAGGTGAGTGAATAAGTGAATTAGATGAATAAATGCAGAGTGGGCCAAGAGCAGTTTGCTGGATCTAAGAAGAGGTCAAAGTGAGGTCTGGAGAGGGATTGAGAATCAGTCACAAAACCAAGGTCTAATGAAAGATTGCTTTGGGAATATTTTAACCCATTTAAATATAATTATAGCAGTTAACATTTACTGAGTTCTTACTATGTGCCAGGGGTGGTGTGAAGTGTTTATGTAAATTACTGCCTTAGTCATCTCAGCAACCCTGGGAAGGAGATATTGAAACTTTTATCTAGTTTTATGACCGTGTAAATAAAGGCCCAGAAAGGTTAGGTAACTTGCCTGAGTGGGCACGGTGATCTGAATCTGGGAAGTCTGGAGTTGGCACCCCCAGGGAGCTGCTGCCATGCTCAGAGAGGTGACAGGAGCTCCATTCCCCACTCTTAGAGAGAGCCAAGGCCTGGCATGCTGTAGGATACAAGGCCTACCCTGAGTTTACCACAAGCTCCTAGAGGCCAGACCGGGGAAATCCTGTGCCAGAAGAGAAGGAGTAGGAGATGGGAGGGGAGTCTGGGGTCTGCAGACCAGGCAACTAGACTTACAGATGAGGATGCCCTGTCTGCCTGAGTACCCTCGCCAGGAGCTCTCACTCTGCTCAGGAATGAGCCTGGCCCACTCACACGCGTCCCTAATGCCAGGTTCCAAGAAAGCCACCTAAATACCTGGTATTTGAGATGTAAAGAGACCGGCTCCCTGTACTTAGGGCTGCACTAACTTTTCCAATTATAGCGCCCTATTTTCCAGAGTCTAAAATGGACATATGTTATAACTGTCTTGGGCCCCAAGGTTTCAGAAACACCCTTAAGGCTCCTGAAATACAATCATATATTTTAGACTAATTCCTAAAGGGCCGAGCGGGGTTATCCATGACATCCGCCAGCAGGATGGAGATCTGGTCTTTGTTTGCAAATGAGCCTGGAGCCTGGGTCTTCTGCAGGAACCAGTTCTTAGCCTGGCTGGGCAGAGAGGCTCAGACTGAGGTGGGAATGGGAAAAGACACAGCCTGCCCCAGAAAACCCCAGTCTGAGGTAGACATGGCCTGTCCCCGGGAGCTAACGTCTGAGGTAGACATGGCCTGTCCCCAGGAGCTAAAGTCTGAGGTAGACATGGCCTGTCCCCAGGAGCTAAAGTCTGAGGTAGACATGGCCTGTCCCCAGAGAGCCCCAGTCTGAGGTAGACATGGCCTGTCCCCAGAGAGCCCCAGTCTAAGGTAGACATGGCCTGTCCCCAGGAGCTAAAGTCTGAGGTAGATATGGCCTGTCCCCAGAGAGCCCCAGTCTGAGGTAGACAGGGCTTGTCTCCAGGGAGTTCCAGTATGAAGGAGACATGACCAGTCATCAGGACACTCTAGGTAGACAGTGGTAAGAGTGGACTCAAAAACCCAGCAGAAGGCCTGCAACAGCTGGGCAGACTTTGCTTCCATGGGATCTGTTGCCCCTGGGTGGGCAGGTGCATGTGGAAGCCACCTGTAGGGCTAGAGTGTCACCTGCAGGCAGTGTACGTTGGTGGGGACGATGGAGCTGAGATGAGAAGGCTTGCTGGAACCACTGTGTGGCTTCCTGCAGGCTGGCCAGGGCATTTGCTCTGAAACCCAACCGTGGTTATTAAACATTGATCTCGCAGGGTGATGGGCTTTTCTGGTTGTAGCATTTGGCCTGTGGACATGTGAGTAAATGAGCTAGAACTAATCCTGTAGCTAAACTGCGAGGCTTTCAGGAAAGCACACGCCTCACTTGCCTAATAGCTCCGTGGGGGAGATGAGTTATAAAGTGTCAGCCCTTAAACGGCCCTTTTCCTGTGACAGGGAAGCAGCTGTCTTGGAAGCCTCGACTCTTGACACTTGTGAAAAACAGCAGAGCCAACCATGGTGCTCATAGACCAACAGCAATTATTGAGAGAGGGAGGAGTCCCACATAGAGGAGAAAGAGCTCTGGCTGCATCCGGAGAGCTGAGTTTAATTCTGCTTAGTCCTTAATTAGCTGATCATCACCTCAGAAATGGAGTAACATATCCTGTCACCATAGAGACAGCCTGGAAGAGAAGATAAGGAGTCCTGGTTCAAGGGAAACACAACCTGTCCTCA